TGAGTTACATCCTCTGAAAGAAACTGGTAACAATACCTGTTTATTCTTATTACCAGTAAGCAAAATGTTCCCTGGAGTCTCGCAAGCTGCTCCAGCAAACTAATTGAACCCAAAACGGGGTTTGTGGGGGGTCTCCGGTTTATGACCAGTCAGAAGCACAGGAAATAACCTGGACTTGTGATTGGCTCAGAAATGGGGGGGGGGCACTCTTGTAGAACTGGACCCTTCAAATGCAGAGTCTGATGCTCTCTCTGAGTAGATAGTGTCAGAATTGAGTTGAATGGGAGGCCGCCCCACCGGTGTCTGAGAATTGCTTGGTATGGAGGGGGAAAAAAAAAAAACCCTCCTACCTTGGAATAAGTGACATCGGGGTTCAGAATGGCTTATGCCAAAAGATGCCACTTCGGTATACTGATTATTTTAAATTAAAGGTACTTGAGAAACAGCTGGTCCAATAAACACCGTCTGAAACTAGGAAATGCATTTGCCATGTGAAAGGTACCCTCCCTGTGGCAGAAGCGTGGAAGGCATCCTTATCACTAGACACAGGGAATTTAGGGCTGAGGAAGGCCGTGTAAACAAATCTCGTTACTGCCTCGCCATTTTACTACCCTTAGCTCAAACCCCTTTGTCTCGTCAATTCTTTACGGACTCACTGTTTCTTTGTCTAAAAGGCATAAAAGCTTCTTGTTCTGGTCACGTCTTTGAGTCTCGTATCTTTGTGGGGCTCCCGAAGGTGCATGTGCAACCAAACTCGTTTGCTCCTGTTGGTCTATCTTTCTATGACAGGGGTAGTCTCAGCCAAGAACCTAGAAGGGCAGAGGGAAAATTATTTTTCCTCCCCTGCAGTGATCGGAACCTGTAGTCCCCAAATGGAAAGCGCTCCTGGAATCATCTGGTGGTCACTTTACTTCTTTAGACTGGTAATGACGTGTGTGGATATGCCTTTGAATGATAAGGAGCGTGAGGCTCACAGGACTACACGTGGTTGGAGGGAAAGAAATACCAGAACCCAAGTCTGCTGACATTTGCTCCTCTCACCTGTGATTGGAGCCCGTCTGCTCTTGCCACGAAAGCAACTGGGCCCTTTTGCAAAAACAAGAAATTAGCGTAGGCCTGGAAGAAACCTGGAGATAAAAGCAAATTGTTACGCTTCTGGCTTTTTCTCTTTTTGGGGGTGGGGAGTAGGGATAAGGATCTTTGCAGGTGGAAAGACTGTGATGGCTTCATTTATTTATTTATTTATTTATTTATTTATTTATTTATTTTTTCAACGTGTATTTATTTTTGGGACAGAGAGAGACAGAGCATGAACAGGGGAGGGGCAGAGAGAGAGGGAGACACAGAATCGGAAACAGGCTCCAGGCTCCGAGCCATCAGCCCAGAGCCCGACGCGGGGCTCGAACTCCCGGACCACGAGATCGTGACCTGGCTGAAGTCGGACGCTTAACCGACTGCGCCACCCAGGCGCCCCTGTGATGGCTTCATTTAGATGTCATGTTCTCAGAGTTCTGAAGGTGACATCAGCCTGGGCCAAAAGCAAGGAGCACGACCTCCTTCGTGCCAACACTGTCCTTCGTAATGCTTCCTTCGTCTGCTGGCTGATGGCTGAAAGGGAGCCTGTAAATACCCTGGGATAGGTACCTCTAATATAAATGTGTGCCGTAGGATAAATAATAGATATCGTCTCCTTTGCTTGGAACAGGCTGTCACGTAAAAGAGGCCAGAAAGAGGCGACGGTCCCAGTGAGGGGCTAAGTTTAGAAGAAATAAGCATACATTTTCTTGGGTTCTCATTTTGCTTAACACTAGCATTGGGAGGAAGGGAAGCTTTCCAAGAGCACAGGAAGAGAAACTGGGCCGCGGCCAATCTTTTGGGCCAAACAGAATTCAGAGAGCGTGATGTGTTTTCGAAAATGCTTGGCAAGCTAGTCGTTTCAGATCCCTTGGGCCTTCGTGGCTCGGAAGCCTGCTTAGATCTGACTAGTCAAGCCAACGAAGATGTCTAATGACGACTCGCACTTCCACAAGCGACTGTCTGAACAGTGTTACTATTCCCCGAAAGATTTGTGAGGCTCTTTCTGCTGATGCCACAGGACCTGCATCAACTTAGATTGTCGATGCCAGGCCAAGTTTGCACATACATAGACAAAACCTTAAAAAGCATCTTCCTGCCCGTGAGAAAAATGACTTCCGACACGTTTCCCAGAAAACTGAAGTGTGTTTGTTTGCTTTCCTAGGACTTAAAATTCAAGGTTTTTTTCCTCCCCCGGTGCAGCTGGTTGATGGCACTTATGGAGTTTGAATCAGTCGGTCGGCATGGTTCGGCTAAGTTAAGCAAAATCTGACTTCCCTGTCCTCGGGAAGGACAGCATTGAGGACATCTGGGGATCTCCATAGCAGAAACGATCCAACGCTCCCTTTTGGGTGAATAGTGGAAGAGCCTATAACCTCAGTTTCCCTACGTATGTCATCCATTCAGGACCCGTTGTGCGGGAAGAGAGGTTCTGCAGCTGTGGAGACCCCGAGCCCACCTCTTGATGACAGGGATAGCAGGACCGTTAGAAATAGGGAAGCGGTAGTTCCCTGAAGAAAAGAAGGGATGCTAAGTGGAGAGTAACAACGCCTGGCTCCCTTTTCTGGACCCCTGGGAGGAGACAGCATGTTTTACTGGAAGTGAGGGAGCCGGCGGTGAAGGGAGACGTAGGGCATCCAGATCCACCATGGCCAACTCTCTGCGACATCCTGGGAGCCTGGCGGACCCTGGGACTTTTTATGTTCTGCCCACCTGCCGAGCCGCCCTGAGATTCAGAGGAAAGAATGGATGGGAGAGGGTTTTGCAGACTGCAACGCACTTGTGGATGCTGTGAACCACACCAGGCACCTTCCAAAAGCCCGGAGTGGGTTTCAGAACCCGCGAGGGAAACCCCTAGAGAAGCAGACACAGCAACATCGAAAGCCTGACTCGAGGGAGACAGACTCACACGTCCGAGTCCACAGGGAGCAGTGTTGTGCAGCCAGGATGGATGAAGAAGGCCACTCCCTAAAGTTCCCCTGGAGATGCTTTATCTGGTTCTGACCAGAGGCCGAGTATGTCCCTTGCTGGGTTCAGGCCATGTTTTGGCTTCCCAGGAATCTCTCACCCTCCCACCCCCACCCCGGGGACTCTTCAGAACTGAATGCTGCTGCATTTTCCTTCCCACGTCTTGCTTGATCTCCGATGGAAAGAACGTGACTTGTCCCGAACGCAATTTCCCTTCCTCTGTCTCTCTGCCTTCCGAAGGGGGTCGCGCTTTCCAGATCGCTGCTCAGCATTTTATTTTGCACAGAATGCTTCTCAAACCTTCTGGAGTGATCTCTTTGGACAGTGCTGTGAAGTGTGTCGTTAGGAATTTCCGAGTACCTCACGCTTGAAGAAACTCAGCCACAGGGCAAGCTAGGGCTGTGCCTCCGGACAGACGTGCAAAGGAGCTGTTCGGCGGGGAACCAGGGCTTTACTGTGGGGCTGCTGAGGCACCCACTTTCTCTTCCCTCAACCCCCCTGTCAGATCGATGGCAGTCATCGCACAGAGCACTCAAGAGACACGTTTTTTACTGTAATATTTTCACTTAGTTGTTGAAAATTCAGATACGCTCTGGGGGGGATGATTGGGTGGGGAGCCTAGTGTTAAACGTCAGCCAAAAATATCACTTCGATGATACAGTACAGCTAGCTTCACGCAACCCATTGAGACCCAGCTCTGGCATGAGTTACATATCATCACAGCCCCGTCCACGGGGATCCAATGACCGCTAGGGCCTTGTCATCGCGTGACTCTGCAGAGCTCTGACCCCGGGATACGGCAGAATGCTTGGTCACCGAGGAGCGCATAGTTATCTTTCGGAAGAGGTGTCCGAATCACTTGCTATGACGGGACCATCAGAACGGCACGA